TGTCAGGGAAAATCCCACCTGATTCTCTATTACCCTTAAAGGAAGGAAACCTCTGACCTTATCTGATCAGACTGAGATATGTCTCCAAAGCCATAACAATGCAATTGACTCTGAAACTGGGATGGACATCAAATGCTGGCCTAGCAAGTGACATCCACATCTTATGAATGAATAAAAAAAAGATTCAGTTCAATTGCTGATGGGATTCAGTATCAACACTATTAGTCTCTCATCACCATTATATCAACAAGGAGCTAGGACACAATGATCCAGGCAGCTACAATCGAAAGTGCACACTCGGGAACCCAGTCTCAGCACCAAGTTCCTGATTCTTCCAGGTTTCTGAAAAGACAATAGTCCTTCCATCAGTACTTGATTAGATTTTGTGGCAGTTCAGGAGATCTTCCCATGGGCCTGGTTCCAGACTATACTGGGAGGGTGGATCAACTGGTCCCAGGCAACTGCCTTAACAATACTGCACTCACTCCTGACCAATGGCTGTTGTTACATCAGGAGGAGAATCTGAAGATTTGGCATGTCCCAAGTATGTTTATAAGATCATTCTTGCCCTCCATCTGCCTCTCTCCCTCTCAGATCTTTGGATAACACTCATGAGATCCGTTTGTGAATATATCAAGACTTTTAGTGGGAAACTGTTTGATGCTGACGAGGATCGTGTGAACATCACTGTTCTCTGGGAGTATTCTGTCCCCTGGCCAAAGTGTCAGGGAACTCTTCCCCAGGTCTTACTGCATTTCCCATGGGCCATTTGCCACCTGCCTACTTGACGAGAACTGCCCCTGTTTCCAAACACTTGTTAATATACTTCAGAGCAAAGAGCTGGTCAATTTACAATCTGTCAGCCACTTGGTTCAGAATTTCTACCGCATGCATTTAGACAGATAACCAAGATTTCAGGATTATCACTCAGTTTCTGTCTATTAATATGCTTCAAGATTGTTTCTTAGTTTACTTGTTGAGGGTTGAAGATCATCTGCCGGTCCTTACCAGATTGATAAGAGGGGTACACAGGTTGTCAAAAGTCTCTCTGTGATCAGTTCAGGAATGTCTGTAGAATCTAGCAACCTCAATGCAGGGAGTACAATGTTTGTCTTCAACCTTGTCATAGTCCCTGAATACTTGGAATTGTTTATGTTTTTCCACACAGAGAGAGGCAGAGATTCAATGCTGTGCCCACTGATTCCTCAGGAGTTCTATGTTATTCGAAAAAGTACTACTCAATTAAAGCACTCTAATTCATAGAGACGCAGAAGTGCTGTGGTGCAGAAAGAGGCCATTTGGCCCATCATGTCTGCACTGCCTCTCTAAATAAGCATTATGATTTAGTGCTATTCTCCTGTAGTTTCCACATGCCCTTGCATGCTGTTTCTTTTGAAATAATCATGTACTTCCATCTTGAATGCCTCAATTGATCTTGCCTCCTTCATACCTCCAGGCAATGCGTTCCGGATCTGAACCATTCATTGCACCTTGCATTTGCTTCTTTTGCAATTCAGTTTGTATCTATACCCCACTCATTCTTGATTCTGTTTTGAGTGGAAAGGGTTTCTCCCTATTGACTCCATCCAGCCCCTCATTATTTTGCAAACTTTTCCTCTTAACGTTCTTCTCTCTAAAAAGAACAGACCATCCTCTTCTATTTAATATCATAACTGAAGTTTCTCATCCATGGGACCATTGTTGTAAATGTCTTTTGCATTCTGTCTATTGAATTTATATTCTTTCTATAGTGCGGTTCCCAGACCTGGATACAAAGTTCTAGCTGAGGTGTAATGTCTGTCTTCATCAAGTTCAGTATCACCTCCTTGCTCATGTACTCTGTGTCCCATAAATGAAACCAAAAATACACTATATTTTGTTAATTGCTCACTCCACTTGTCCTTCAGTAATGTGCAGATATACACCCAAGTCCCTCTGCTCCTTTACCTCCTTCAGAACTGTACCATCTACTTTATATTGTCCATCCTTGTTCTTCATAAGACCTTCGCACTTCTCTGCACTGAACTTCTCTGTCACCTGTCCTCTCACGTCACCAACTTGTCTATGTCCTTTGGAAGTTCTGAACTATCCTCCTCACAGTTTAACATTCTCCCAAGTCTTGTGTCATCCACAAACTTTAAAATTGCCCTTTGCACACAAAAATCACAATCATTAGTCATGAATCACTGCTGTCTTTCCTGTTGCTCAGGTAACTTGGTGTCCACATCACTACGGTCCTTGCTAACTTTCTCACTTTTCTTTGTGAAGGAAATATTCTTGTTAATTTCTCCAAACCAGTTTTTAGCTAACCTAGTTATTCCTGAAGCACGAATTTCCCTAATTTCTCAATCTTGGATCAAACGCATACCAAAGGGCCCAGAATTATCTGATCATTATTGATTTTCTTCAGCACTCTCTCTCACTACAGATCATCTCATTCAACAATATTCCTTATTCTTTGGATGGACTGCTGTTAATTTCTCAACTATCAGTTTACAAGTACATTTAATTAAAGCAAGATTATTCTGAAACTTCACCTGTATCCACCTTGTTATTCACTCCACAATAACACTCAACACTGGAGCCCCCTAGGATGCGTCCTCAGCCCCCTGTTGTACTCTCTGCATACCTACAATTGTGTTGCCAAATTCTGAATGAACGCCATCTACAAGTTCGCTGACGAACCACAGTAGTGGGACAGATATCTAACAATGACAAGTCAAAATACAGAAGAGACATAGAGGGCTTGGTGACATGGTGCAATGAAAACAATCTATCACTCAACGTCAGCAAAACTAAAGAACTGAAACTCGACTTCAGAAGGAAAGGAGGAGAACACGCCCCCATCTCATCAACGGACATGAGGTTGAGAGGGTGAAGAGCATCAAGTTCATCAGAGTGACGATAAGCGATCACCTATGCTGGACTTCCAATGTAAATGCAACGGTCAAGGATGCACAACAATGTCACTTCTTCTTCAGCAGCTCAGGAAATTTGGAATGTCCATGAGGTCCCTCACCAATTTCTACAGATACACCATTGAAAGCATACTGTCTGGGTGCATAACAGTTTGGTACGGCAATTTCTCTACCCAGGACCGTAAGAAACTACAGAAGGTGGTGTGCACTGCCCAGACCCTCACAGAAGCCAACCTTCCATCCATGGACCCTATTTACATGGCTCATTGCCACTGAAAGGTGACCGACATCATCAAAGATTCGTCGCACCCTGGTGATGACCTCCTACAACCTCTTCCATCAGGCAGAAAATACAGCATCCTGAACACACACACCAGGAGGTTCAGGAACACCTCCTTTCTGGCCGTTATCAGACTGTTGAATGGACTCTAGCCTCAAATAATGCAACCTGTATGCTTCTGAGTCTTTTTGATCTGTACATCCATTGCGTGCTGTGACCTGCCTGTACTGCTTGTAAACAAAGCTTTTACTGTATTTCAGGACACGTGACAATAAATCAATCAATCAACCAACTTTGCATTATTTTCCCTTTCATCTGTGCTGAAGCAAGTCCATTTTACTTTATTTTACTCCCTCTCACCATTACTACGTTCATTGCCTTCATGTCAGTTCCTCTGCTCAGTGCATGACTCAGTGTTTTCCTGTTGTGTAGGTCACAATCTATGTAGTTACACAATATCCCAATATCAGACCACACTTTCTTTACTTTCAAATAATCTTATCAAAAGATCAAAGTGGTACACTGTCTGATTTTCATTTATCCTCTCCTGCATGGTTCTGATGTCTCAGAGGGGGATGAGATTGTCCTTTTCAGTTCTCTTAGAAAGTTCATAGTCATGGATAGAAATATGTCAATCCAAACATATAAACCTGTCATACTCATCCACAATGTGCATTCACAAGAATGTATATCAATACAATATATTATCTCTTATTGAACTATAAGTTGAGTTGGGATATTCAAGTTTGCATGGGGTGCTGCATCCTTTCTCAATAACTTTATCCCCCTTACCCTCAACCACTTCCTCATATTGAGATCGTTCCTTGACAGTGAGTTGCTGAAAACTGGTATCTGCTCTTGTGGGAGCACAGCACGAGCTCATCCACTCAGCATGTCTGACTGAAGATGGATGCAAATGAGAACATAAGAACAAGGAGCAGCAGTGAGCAACTCAGCCCCTCGAGCCTAACACTCAGTGTGGTCTCAACTCATGTTCCTGCCAGTATCCCATACCCCATCAATCCACTACTGATTAAAAACCTGTCTGTATCCTCCTTAACTTCACTCAATGTCCCAGCATCTACTTCACTCTGGGGTAGTGAATTCCACAGATTCATGATCAAATTGTCTGTTGTTCTGAAGTGTTTTCCTCCAGTTTCATTCAGGATGAGGCAGTGTGTACAGCCTCCTTTTCCTGTCGATTGCCATTCACAACTGGATATGGAAGGATTGTAAACACACACAGATCTCTCTGCTACTGCCCCCAACCTGATGTGCACATGTCCACATTTGCCTGATCAGAGTTGGTCCAAGTTACCAGAGAGATTCACTTCTCCACGAAACTTCTGGAGCAATCAAAATCAGGATCCACTGACTGGGGAGGAGTGGACAGGATCTTGAAGATTACTTTTTTCAAGTCCTCTGCATTCTAGCTCCAAATTCGCAATGAGGGGCTGGAATGGTCCAAGGGCATTGTGTTCCAGTTAAAGCTCTCTTGTATGAAAACCAATGTCAGTTTCTCATTTTAACTTCTCTAGTAATCACCTACGTGGTCATTGTTAAATGTATTTCTAAAGTCTATGCATTCTACATCCACCACATTCCCCTATCATGTGTCTACCCTCTCCTCAAATAATGATGGCTGGTTTGACAAGTTGTTTCTATCTTTTTGCACACTCTGCACTATGTTTAGTTTTTAGTTATTAATTCCTTACAGTTTTATCCTTAAGAGACTCAGTATTGTTGTTCTCCACATCGGGAGGACGTGTCTTCAGAAAAGGACTAAGGACAGAGACAGGAAGTGGAAAAAAAAATTCTTTTATTTTTGCAGCTTCAGCAAAGACAACATTACTGTAATGGATTCTACATTGAAAGGATAAATCAAATATCCTGAATAGATAAACCTAAATGGTCAGGAGTGCAAACTTTGGCAGGACTTGGGGCTGACTGTGAAAGCAGACAGCCTGCAGTGTGAGAACAAAACGATAAACACAAAAAAAAATGTAATAACTTTAAGAAATCTAGATGTAAGACATGAGTAGGCCTTTAAATTCCATTAACACAACTCCATTTTAAAAAAAATCACTTTCTTTTGCTTTACTAATAAAAGAATCAAAAATGAATCAACATACAAATCTTATACTACTGAAATGTAATAATTCTAAGATTTCTCGACATAAATCGAGAATGCCTGCAATCTCGGAGTAGCTACAAGATCCATTTGTGTGGGAGATGTCAAGACTGGGGGCTATATTTTTAGGGTGAGAGGAGAAATATTTTAAAAAGACATGAGGTGCAACTTTTTTACACAGCGAGTGGTCCATGTGTGGAGTGAAATTCCAAAGGAAGTGGTGGATATGGCTACAGTTACCACATTTATATTTGGATAAGTACATGAATGAGAAATATTTGGAGGGATATGGACCAAGTGCAGGCAGGTGGGACTAGTTTAGTTTGGGATTATGTTCGGCATGTTTCTGTTCTGTATGACTCTATGCTCCATAACCAGCTTAACACAATCTCTGAGTCAGAGAGAGAGGAACAGAAAAAATCGTGGAGCCTTGAACCCAAGACAGGAGAGCTGCAGACCACGATTACCCTGCTTTAATGAGGCTTTGCACCAGGAAGTTTATAAATTGATCGAAGTGTGAAAATAGGAAATAGCTCAAGTCAGAGAGTCTGAGACTACAGCATGCCACAGGCAGGAGATCAATTCGTGACGTCTATTGCCATTTGACAGTGTATACCATAATAAAGTAACAATTGGCTTCAATCAGTCTCTGTAACAAGAGCGTAGAAAAGGCTTCACTCAGTATTTAAGGTGCAGGAAAATTCAAATGAAGTCTGGGATGATCTCACTGATGAGTGACTGACAAAGAGATCATGTGTATATGCTGAACTGACTGACAGAATTGGTGCATGTGGCATGACCATTGGGTGGTGTCCTGTGGAGATGAAATTTTTCTGAGGAAAAATAGTCAAGGTTTAAAAGTCATTTCCTGAGATGTGGCCATTACCGGCAATGCCAGCATTTATTGTCCAGAGGGCAGCTAAGAGTTAACCAGCTCTGCAGTGACATGTACACCAGACCAGATAAGGATGACGGATTTCTTTCCCTAAAGGGCATGAGTGAACCAGATGACTTTTTGTGACAATCAGTGATGGTTACGTGGTCACCATTAGACCAGCTCTTAATTCTAAATTTGACTGAATTTGCATTTCACCACCTGCCACAGAATTATTTGAACCTGTGCCCCCGCAAAATATTAAGCTGGCCTTCTGGATTCTTAGGGCAGCAACCTTACCACTGTGCCCCCATCTGCTCCGAATGTGAAACTCTCCGTATCATGTCAGATGTTGTCTCAATAATCTACAATTAGCAAGATGATATTATTTCTCAAATCCAGATCATCTATTCAAATTACTCCAGAAATTGCAATAGAATTAATTAGAAGATCAATCACAGCAATGGAAATCGAGTTTCTAGCAGGACATCAGAGGCCACTGGGGAAGAGAAAAAGCATGGTTACAGACCACAGAAAACCTAGCAGACCCTGAAGCATCTCCCCCAAACACCAGGAGAAAAACACAAAAACCCATTCCCTAAACATCAGTAAAACTCTTCAGACCCCACCCTAAAGACCAACAAAACCCACAGGGACACAGGAAGATAGTGAGGCCATTTAGCCCCTCAATCCTGTTCCATTGTTCAATGAGATCATGGGTAGTCTGGCACCTCAATCTATTTATCCATCTTCCACCATTCCCTTAATTTTGAGTTTTATTGATTTTTAATTCACCAAAGTCAATTTTGCATGAATTTTCTTTTGAGGAGAGTTCTAACCATTTCCTGCCCTATGTGTGTGGAAGCATTTCCTACTTTCACTCTCAATAGATGTGATTCTAATTACACTGACATTCCAGTCCGAAATGCCCCAACCAGTGGAAACAGTTCCCCTCTATCTACCATGTCCACTTCTCTTAATATTTGAAAACCTCCATCCAAATCAGCCCTTAACTTTCTACATTTTAGGGAACACAGCCCCAGTTTGTTTAATCTCTGTGTAATTTAACCCTTGAAGACCAGCTTTCATTCAGGTCCGTTGACACTGCACTCCCTCCAAGATCATAAATCTCCTCACAGTCTGGTTTCCTGAACTGCTCTAAGTTCTCTATCAGGTCCAGACCCCACCCACCTCTCTGCATTCCACAAACACCCAGAAATGCAGAATTCCAGGAGAGCAACGCTAAACTCCAGGAACAAACTACAGTGAGAACTCTCATAATATTGACTCCCTTTAGGAAGACCGCATCCAGGATGAAAAGTCTCCGGATATTTCTATAGCCCAAACCCCATCTCTCGGAGATATATTGAGGCTTAGGCCCATACAGGGTCAGCCCTCTCCAAGAGGTCAGTCTGAAAGCTCTGTGTTGAACTGTATAAGCTGGTCTTTAGTGATCATGCAGAGAGAGAGAGAGACTGAGCTCAGGGTACACCCTCCAGATTGTACAATTAACACCAGCACCAATCCCCCAGTTACAATGACCTGTTCCCAACAATGAACAAAAATGTTCATACCTCACGAAATGGAAGAACGGTCTGAGGATTTCGTTTCATCAGAAGCTGTCAAGGGAAAGAGAAGATTAAAAACCATTCATTATCAGAGCAAGAGAAAGAATGAGACAGACAGTGCATAAGAGAGGCAGCGAGAAACAAGAGGGTGAGACAATGATGGAGAGCAAGAAACGAGAGTGAGAGCATGCGAGAAACAGAACAAAATGAGAGAGTGAGAGAAAGAGCATGATAGAGAGAAACAAAAGACCGAAAGCACAAGAGGAAAAATGAGAGACAGAAGAAACGAGTGAGAGAAATGAGAGCCACAGACATAAAGAGTGTGAGAGGGAGAAATGAATGAAAGAGAGAGTGCATGAGAGGGCTAAATGAGAGACAGAGAGCGCACGAGACCAAGAGAAGAATGGAAAACAGACAGACAGACCAGACAGAGAACAAAAACAGAAACTGCTTGAGAAACTCATTATGTCTGGCAGCATCTGAGGAGACAGAGAGCAGAGTTAACGCTTTGGATTCAGTGACCCCTCAACAGAACTCCCAGAACGAAATGTCACTGGACTCAAAATGTTTACTGTTTTCTCTCCACAAATGCTACCAAACCTACTTAGTTGCTTCAGCAATTTCTGTTTTCTTTTCTGTTTCAAATCTCCATCATTTTCAGTTCTTTGAAACAGAAAGAACAGCTCCTTGTACACTAACACAGATGCCGAGATGTTTGAATTGTCAGCTTACAGTTTGTGGGACTGTAGTTGTTCTTCACTCCTCCTGTAAAACAAGGAATGTTTGGTGAGTGTCGAGAGACTGTCAGAAAATCAGAGGAAATGCTAGAGACCCTCACTCCCATCTAGACTCAGCCCCTCGTGCCCACATTACCCTGATCTGCTGATGCCCAACAGTGAACTGAGAGCCAGCCCCAATCTGAAATATCTGACTTCACACTCACAACCTGAGACTCTGAACCCTGAGACCTTCCACCTCACCCTGAGAAACAGGGCACCATCACAGACCCTCCTTCACAAACTGAGGCCCTCTCCCCACAGCCTGAGCCATTGCTAACCCGGAGACTGACTCATAAACACAGAGATTCCTTGCCCACCCTCCGAACCCAAGCAAACAGCCGGAGACCATGAGATACTGCAGCAGAATTAGGCCATTCAGCCCATCAGGTATGCTCCAACATTCAATCGTGACTGATATGTTTCTCAACCCCATTCCCCTGCCTTCCCCTATAACCCTTGATCCACTTACCAATTAAATACCTATCTCTGTCTTAAGGACACTCAGTGTCTTGGCCTCCACACCCTCCTGCAACAATGGGTTTCCACAGAATCACTGCCGTCTGGCTGAGGAAATTCCTCCTCAGTTCTAAAGGGTTGTCCCTTCTCACACTATACTGGTCCCTTGGGTCCTAGTCTCTCCTGCTAGTGGAAACATCTTCTCCACATCCACTCTATCCAGGCCTCTCAGTAATCTGTAAGTTTCAATGAGATTCGCCATCAACCTTCAAAACTCCATGGAACACAGACCCAGAGTTCTCAACCACTCCTCATAAGACAAACCCTTCAACCCAGGGATCATTCTTGTAAACCTCCTCTGGATTCCCAAGGGCAGCACATCCTTTCTTAGACATGGGACCCAAAACTGCTCACAATGTTCCTTCACTTTATTCTGGCCATCTCCCTTCTGGCTCTCCAACTCCGAGCCCCCAGAGAGAAGCTGCAATTTTCTCACAAACTCTTACCTTTCTTCTTGTAAATGACAACAATGACGACAGCCCCAACAGCGAAAGCGATGATCCCGATGACTCCAAATACAATCCCAACAGTAACAGGAACCTGGGCGTGAGACTTCGGGTCTGTCAGACAGAGAGAGAGAGAAAATCAGAGCCAGTGAGAGAAAAAAAGTGGGAGAGAGACAGACACAAAGAGAGAGGGGAGGCAGGGAGACAGAGACAGAGAGCAAGAAAGTAAAGAAAAATGTGCGTTATACAGGATATACTGCATACATTCAGGTCATTTGGTCCAATCAGTAAATAGTCACTTTAATCCACTGAAGCTCCTTCCTCATCTAAATCTGTCACCGACACTTGCTATTCCTTTCTAATTTCCACTTAAACACATTTCAACAAGTCAGGCTCCCTGCAGCAGCAATCTTCACATTCTCCCCATTCTTTGGCTGGAGAAGTTTCTTTTGAATTTCTTTTGGAATTTTTGGTGACTGTCTTGTGTTGGTAGTCTTGAGTTTCTTCACCAAACACACGATCTGCACCCACTCTATCAAAATGTCTTATCCATTTAAAGATCTCTATAGATTCACCCTTCGGGATTTATTATTCCAGACAGACCCAGCCTGCTAATCCATTTCCTGATAATATTCACTCACATATTTCTGACATCGTCATTGTAAATCTTCTCTGCACCCTCTCCAGTACCTGATTATCCTTTAAACCACATGGTGACCTTAACTGTCTACAGTACTCTGCATGGTGGTCTCATCATTTTTCAGGAGAGATTTAACAGAATAACAAAACCTTCAATTCTATTAGGAAAGGTAAGAAGTTTTACTGCTTGACTTGCAGCACAGAGGCTCAGAGGTTAGCACTGCTGCCACACAGAGTCAGGGACTCAGGTTCAATTCCACCCTCGGGTGACTGTTTGCGTGGAGTTTGTACATTCTCCACGAGTCTGCATGGGTTTCGTCTGGGTCCTCCAGTTTACTCCCAAAGTCCAAACATGTGCAGGCTAGGTGGGTTGTCCAGGGATGTGCATGCCAGGTGAAGTAACCATAGGAATGGCAGGTTTACAAGGATAGGGTGAGAGCAGGGGGTGGTGAGTCTGGGTGAATGCTCTTCGGAGTGTCACCATGGACTCAATGGGCCAAATGGCCCGCATGCACACTTTGCTGATTCAATGCTACAGTCATCCTGTTCATTGCCTACCCCTAATTTGGAACTAACTGCAAATTTATGAACTGTTCTTGATCACCAGAGTTGCTGACTGATCACATATAGTAGACTCAACCAAACTGCCTGCTACATAAGCTTCCTCTCCTTGGGATTTTGGATTGTCTGTCTCCTATCACAAAGGCTTGTCTAAAGCTCATCTCTGCCCTTTCGTAGAATATCTGGAAATGTCTCTCATTCCTGGGACTGTCTGGGATTCCTGTCTCTTCTTGAGAATGTCTGGTGCTGCTATCCATAATAAAAATTGGAATTTAATTCTAAAACTCTGTTTAAATAAAACAATATTCATGGTCACGGGAGAAGAGACAGTTTGGTGCTGCGTGAAGCTGTAGGGTCCAGAAAAGCTTCAATCCTGGTTGTGACAGCACATTTGTTTCCCCCGACACCACCAGCCGTTTTAGTTTCAGCAGGACGGGATCTTTCTGTGCTCACAGTCTGATATTGTCAGCAGTGACTGGAAGGGTGTTCAGAAAGTTTACAACCAGAATGGACTCTTCCAGCAGAGGCACCACCACTGGGGTATCTATCAGTGGGAGGCAACTCAACGCTTCTGCACCACGTTAAACCGATATTCCTGGTCCTGGGGGAACAGTGAAATGGCAGCAGGAATGCCAATGCCAGCCACATGCCTCCTCAGAGCGACAGAAACAGTTTATTTCAGGCATGTACTGTTTTCTCTCACTGCCACTGAAATAACTGCAGGTATCTGTTCACCGAGTCACCCTTTATTTACCTGTGCACAGTACATGGGCTCTGACCAGCCAACTCAAAGCCTGTCCTTTGACTGAGGAGACCTTCTGAATCCTTGTTACAATTCTGTTTCTTTTTTCTGACCACCCCCATCAGCTGTTTTTGTTTAAATTTACATAATTACTGTAAAGGGGTAGTAGGAACTGCAGATGCTGGAGAATCTGAGATAACAAGGTGTAAGAGCT